TTCGCCACTTTTTGCCTACCCCACAGTTATTCTTTTCAATTTGATGAGCTGCGTAAAATAAATTGCCACGAATAAATATCTGCATTTGTTTAATATATATCAAAAAATATAGTAAAATAAAAGATCCGTTTTGTTTTAGCCCCCAAAGCAGTCTTGTTTTGGAAAGCATAATATATTAATAAAAAGAATTGGGTACAATGCTATGTCACAATTTATTTTCCTCTTTTTCATGGCTGCGGTTTGGAAGTGTAACAAATCTGGTAAGATTGTGATTCTAGCAGTCGTCATAGCGCCTCAGCTGTTTGCGCCCTTTCCTTTACTTTGTTTTTTTTTCTTGTGTGTGTGTTTTTCTCTGTTGGTATCAAGCTTTACTGCTGTGAGACTTTGCAGGAGCTGTCACCACCTTGTTTTTAACAAGGTGATCAACAGTTGCTGCTTTAAGTGTTTTTAAAGCTTGTTCTACCATGTACAATAATTTATCCCTGTGATAAAATTAAATTCTACATCTAAAAAAAGCAATACTGGAAGCAATGAATAGTCTATCCACAGACCATCAATTCTCTTTGACCACATGGTGCAAGAAAGCCAGGGTTGGGGGTTCGGGGAAGAGAAATCATGTTGTAATTCTAAAACCGTTTTCTGCTAACTAAAAATCAATGAGCTATAAGCAGAATAGTTGCAATACAGTACAAAATCTTCTATTCTGCTTATTTCCAACCCTGCTATCAAAGCATGCGCATGAGCTTGGGTTACCTGAGACAACAAAAGCTTGGCATTAAGCTACCTGTGTGCTTAGTCTGATTATATTCATTTCACTGACAAAACATGGTTTGCGTCAACAACTTAAAAATGACAAGTGCATTTATTAAAAGAAAAACATCAACAACATGTTTTGCTGTTCAAGACAATTAAATAAATATATATTACTACATGATAAATTATTGCAATGAGCTCAGCGCTGCATTTTCTTCTTCAAGTTCCTGCAAAATACATATATAAATAAATGAATAAATAGGACAATGATTTATATTTTATTTTTTAATGCTTCTCCTATCAATTATCAAGTGGTCATGACAAGTCCATCTCTCGAGAAATTGAAGTGAACTGTACTCAACTCACAAGTGATGGAAAATTTTCTTTAACAAGTTAGAATAACTACTACCAGCACATTACCTTCTTCAGATCTGTTCTCCTTTAGAAATGTTACCAACAAAGGTCATTGCCTATATTTCCTGAACAGGGGAGGTACATTTCAAAAGCTTAATCCTCACCACCTCTCTGGTTAAAGCCTTGCAGTGGGAGGGGATGGAAATTTTCCAAAGGAACACTTTAAAAAAGGAAGTTTTGTGTTTGACTGTTCTCTATAAGACAAATAACTAGTAAATTTCAACATAGTTTTATTTCTCTCCCTCAAGGTAAAGGGGTAAAGTTTGCTTGCGAGTCAAGCACATCAGGCCAGAGCTTATCTCAGTTTCTGTAGCATGAAGTGACTAGGAATATTTGAATGGTGATGCTAGTTCATCGCAGGGCTACCCCCAGCGTTAAATTCACCACTACCCATTTATACACCTGGGGTGGACAGAGAAACTGTGAGAGCAAAGTGTCTTGCCCAAGAACGCAACGCAATGTCCATGGTCAGGACTCAAACCCAGACCGCTCGATCCAGAGTGAAGGGCACTTAAACCATGAGGTCACTGTGCCTCCCTCTTCCTCAAGAGCTAGTGCTAAAAGATTTCATAGGATGTCACTGGGCATACATGTACCTTAAGTCTCTTCCGCAATTTCAACACTTCTATTTCTTGCTTAACTGTGGCAATCTAACAACCAAAAAAATAACATCAACATCATAACATCATCTGATCCTTTACAAGAAAAATTGCAGTCAGATACAAGCCAGAATGAGGTACATTGTTTAATTGTGGATGTCTCTGTTAAATTTTAAACAATTCTCGGTACTGTAAGTAACATAATGCTAGGACACCAGAAGTGTAATTAAAGCAACAGTGGTAATAACAGGGAAAGATTGGGGGGGGGGGGGGGGGGGGGGTGAATGTGAATTGGGTAGCTGTAGCCACCCACCTCCCTTTTAGGTGTCCATTTGCAACCTACATGTAGAAGCAAAACATGCAGACAAAATTTCCTTTCAAAACATGAAGGATACAAACAGTTTAAACAATGCTGAAATTACAAGACCATAAAAACCAACTACATTTTATACACAATGACGACAGCTTAGTTCCATTAATAATTTATTGTTTATTAAATTGTGCATGTATGTACCTTTGACTTGATACTGTCAATTTCTTTTTCCAGTTCTCTTTCCTTCAAAAATGACAAAAAAATATACGTCATTATTATGTTATGGACATTATGGCTGTGTCCTGCAAGAAATAGCGTTCTTTACGTAATACATCCTTTATTGACCTAGCTTGTTCGGTTAAGATGGCTGGCTATTGGCCTCATTCTTTTTTTGCATGTTTGTGGTCCTTGGTCCATAAACATGTAAAAAGGAAATGAAAATTTGTTTGAAAATTCAGGAAGTTAGAGAAATCGGGAATTCAATTATAGTATTCCCCTGAGGGGAGGGAAATGACTTTTGTTTTGGGTTATCTCCAGGTCAAAAAAATCGAGGGTTCAAGAAATCTGGATTTGCACTGTGCATAGTTTAATTGGTTGCATGCTATGTTGTGTGATGGTATGTTTTGCATGGGACATTTCTGGTTGAAATCAGAAAAAAAGCTAACAAGTAACATTTCCTTGTTTGTATTAAATAATGCACTTTTCATTAAAATATAATGCGATGAGTAAAATATGAACAAATCAGGAAAAATCAAAGATTAACAGTACCTTCAAGATGACTCTTTCATCTTCTATGGTTGTGGGTAGAAACCTCTAAGAAAACGATTTAAAAAATTTACTAAGTTAGCGAATTATCCACCATCAGCATGAAATTTTTGTACCATGTACACAAAATGATGACATGTGCATGAACATGCATTTGACTTCAAGGGGGTAACAGCAAAATACAAGACTGTATTTATTTAGCAAACTGAGTATTTGTAAGTTGTGAAATTCTGCCAGTCAGCAGGCGAAGTGGTTTTAAACATTGGAACCCAAAAGTCGACAATTCTATTTCTCTCTTCTAAAGATATACATGTACAAATCCTTGTTACTACAAAACAATCTAGAACATGAATAGAAAAACAAACAAACAAACATGCAGATGTTTCTGATATTGCCGATGCCATATCAGCAACCTAAACTACTGCAACTGAACATGTGTGCTAAGAATAGACAGGGGTGTAAATTTCCTCCTGGCCTTAAAGATGCTTTCCAGTCTGTGCAGTCTCAGCACCCCAATGTTTATATAAACATCAAAGTCTCACTAGATGGAATGCAAATCGATGTTATTTGTTACAAACCACATACATTATCTTTGAGGTATTTCAAATCCTTTTTCCAACAGCTTCATTGATTTTTACAGCTGCAAAGTTGTTTCATCAATTGATATGAGAAAGATTGAAGCATAAAGCTTCAACCGCTTCACATCCACATTGGCGGTTGTTTTGAAACTCTGAATTTATTTCATGTAAGTACTTGCAAAATGTTCACATTTTGTGATGTCTTACATGAAACAAAACAAAAAAACGCAAACAAACTCTCGAGAGTGCGCAGTACAGACTGGAAATCATCTTTAAGGGAGAGGGGGTGGAGTACTGTATGATCTTAAAGCACACTTGACATGTTCAGGTAATAAATGAAAATGCTGATGGCACCTTACTTTCTCAAAATCCTTTAATCGCTCTTCCTTTTCTTTGATGCTTTTCAGCAAAGCATGTTTCTCTTTTGGCCACTCTTCTTGCATTTTTAATGACAAATTAATATCTGCAAGTAAATAGACTATATTAGTCTGCTGGGACCAGGGTTTTTTTTTTCCGCTCACCACAATTGCGGCTTCGCCGTTCACTGACAGCGGCTTTGCCTTGAAAACAAAAAATAATTAACCTCTGGCACCCAGAATATTTCTTGTTTTAAACATGCTGATATCACAAGCAACATAAGTAGTGTACATCCTCAATTGCTTGAGCTTTCATGATATATAATAACTGAGAAAATTACAAGCATGCCTTCTTTACATTGCACTTTGCACTACAGTGCAAATCAAAAATTAGCTATGAAGTTGCCTGCTCTCAGTCAATCAAAATGAAGTAATTTTCTCAGTTGTTTAATAACAATTAGTTAATATATATTTCACAGGTGTAATAATTATATATAGTATGCCTGCTAGAGACACTCCTCACACTGAGGTGTTCGAGGCTTTCATTTAAGAGTACTGAGAAGCCACACAAACACTCAGCCTGACAGACACAATTGCAAACCCAAAATAAGGATCAAGATGCTTTATACTTGCAACCATGGATAGTAGAAGACCTCTTTACTATCCATGTTGCAACTGCGCTTCTTAGTGTTTGTGTATTTACAAAGTACTGAATCTAATGAAAGTCACACGAAAAAAAAGTGCTCTTCCTAACTTCGATATACTTCTGAGACAAACATACGAAAGTATACTTACCATTGTCATTCTATATCGACCCTTAGTAAGAACCCAATGTTAGTTTTCTCGTCAAAATATAACCTTACATTTAGACCTAAGATACAATCCTGCAGTTCGGTGTCAGGTCGGTGACAATGCGGTTGGTTACCGCTGGTACACCTTATTGCGGGCATTTATATTTTGGTATTAATTTTTGTAACTTTTTGTAAATTTTATTTTATTGGTTTTTTTTTTTCTTTCATCGTGACTGTAGAGAAACTAAATTTACAGTTGTTGGCTAAACAAAGTCAGTAACGTGTTACGCCGTCCTTACACACAAGGACGAACATGCCGTCGACTGCACGTGGCTATCCCTCAGAATCCCCGAGAATCCCCGAGAGAGGGAGGAGTGGTATGGTTGTAGGTCTCCTCCCAGTCCCCAACCACAACATTCTCGATATCTGTCAGACACGGCTGTTGGATCTCGTGGTGTGCGTTTGTTTTTGCGATATGGGGCGTGAAGACATATTATAAACACGAGGGAATCTATACAGAAACTGCGCACTTACTGGGTATTTCAGTAAATCTGAAGTCATTGACGACTTTACCAGCAATTTCTGCCCATTAGTTGGTGTGGTTTTAAAATTAAGAGAACAAACATGGCGGACAGCGACATTTCTGACGAAATTTCCAGCGCCTTTCAGCTGGCCGACCCAGCGGACAAGGAACGATTTTTCGCTCGGCTGAGGAAATTAAACGTCAACAATCCAAGCGAACTGGACTCTTTTCTTGACGACTACAAGTATCGAAAGCTCATTGTAACGGGTTTCAATCGAGATCTTGTCATAGTTGGCCGTAATGAGTCAACTGTGTTTGAAGATTTCACTTTACAAGTGTGGAAGAAATACTACATCGAGGAGGATGTCGTGCAGATCGGTATTTTGCAAGGGAGCTTGTCCTTCCCAGTAGAAGTAAGTTCTCCTTTACATTATAAGCAAATAATTTTTCTATTGAGTTGAGAAGAAAAGTAAGCTTATATCAATTGCATGCAGTATTAGATCGACTAACAAACTAAATTTAAACCTCAAAGCTTTGTGGTGGATTCCACTTATCAGGCTAAAAATGAATGCTTGCACAGTGCCTTATAAGGCAAATAAGACTTAAATGTACGTCAACGAGTATGGTTTGAAAATAAATTAAGCTTTACCTTGTTTAGAACTTCCTGAAAAACGCCGTACATGTACATGTTCATGTATGAAGTAAACTCTTTAAGCTTACAAATTTCCCTGAAATCCATTTCTACATTCGTATGCATGAGTTATCAACAGTTCCATTTAAATAAGACGTCATAAGACTTTGTAAGACACACCCTTGTGCATGCCCATACTCTCTTACTACATAGTTTTAAGGTCCGTACATTTACATTGTAGATCTATTTCCTTTTCTGTTGTTCTACATGTATGTACAAACACAGCAAAACTTATTACTCTCATTCTTAATATTCAGATATGTTTGATTGGTAACCATCATTTGATTTTGAGTGGTACTATCATATTTAATTGTTATTAACCGCGCGGCCATGGGCCGAGCGCGGTTCATGTTCTACCGTTGGTTTATTATTTTTTTTTATTTTTTTTTTGTTGGAGACCAGACGCAGATCTCCACTCGGCCAACTTTGAATTACGCAGTCTGTAGTGTTTACTCGCCAAACCTTGTTTCTTCAGGGTCAACAGAAATCTCAGATTACAAAATCACGCCGAACCTACACGTTGCAAAAAAAATCGCTTCAAAAC